TCGTAGAGTGGGTACCCAAAACACGCGATCGGCGATTACTCCTTCAATTCTTGTCGGATGACCTTGGTTCAAGCATCAATATGGACCGGCTAGCTGTGCTCTCGACGCTGATGTGCTTGGTATGCTCTGAATCGGTCGACAAGTCGATCGGCCGATGCTCCGAGATGCTTGTAATGAGCGAAAATGTGAGGCGAATTTTCTCTGTTAGCTCTGTTGCTTTGCCTTTACAGTGAGGCTGCAGCGCACCTCTGGTCAATACCTGACCAATTCCTCTCAGTCCTCTCTCACTATTACAATACCTATTTCCATGGACAAACTCAATACAAACTTTCTTTCTGCTCAGTGTTGGATAAGGCAACACTGCAGCTACTGGCTAATATCAAGTTAATTTGTTGAATTTGGGCGAGCTGAGCAGAAAGAATGATCTTTCTGCTGGTTTCTCTGAAATCTGGATTCTGAGAATGCCAGTTTCCTTAAAATTCTACGTCGGTGCGGTCTTTTTCTTATCCGGGTCCGCTAAATATCTAGACCGGCCAACAGTTACACCAAGCAATTGCCACTGAGTATATCAAAGGTACCAGGGGACTCCCCTCCTGTTATCACAACCATTTCAAACACTCACTCATCTCTCTCCTCACCAAATCCAAGCCCTACAAACAGTCTTGGCTCCAAGGGATACATACTATACGCGATAGAGAAACTCGACGCGCCCACCAAATCACTGAAGACAGAAGGCATTCCAGATTATATCAATGGTGTGCCACGGGCCGACTCTAGCCTCTCCATCTCCCATCCCTCGAACCTCCTCCTCAGAACCAAACAACAACATTAGAACATGGCCTTAGCGCGCCACACTCCAAGGAAGGCCTTAGCGTGCACTCCTACAGAAACCAACATTGAATGGAACACCCTTAAGGGCCTTAGCGTGCCCGTGACCCTTCTACTCGAACAAGGGGCCAGTAGCGCCCCTTGTCATTCTGAGTGAAGTAAAAGCAAGCCCTCGGCGCAGTAGACAAAATAACAACTACTAATCTTTGTGACAAACAAACAAGACCTTGATAGTGATGAGGAGGAGGATGCCCCCAATACTATCTAGCTCTCGAGTTAGATCAATGCTAGCTAGACACAAGCTAGCTATGCTCTCTTAACACATTGTAATGCATGTCTGTTTCGTACTGCTAGCTAGCTACTTGTACATGTATGTACGAAGCAACGATGCGACAAAGCGACGAAGCGAATCTAGAGGATGCGTATGCAGTTTTTTGAAGGCGTTCTCTCCAAAGCAACGGTTCCAAGGAAAAGAACATTAAAAATTTCGCCCTCACTTTTTGGGCTGCAACCGTGATTCGACCCGGCTCGCTGAATTAGGTTTATAGTAAAATAGTACAAAGAACACGGATTATCACGCTCACCAGATTTGAACGCGAGAGAAACACTTTCAAGAGCTCACCGTTTGATTTTCAGGATTCCTCCGACCAGAAAGAACAAACGAAAGCTCTGTCAACACACTCCCACTGTTAGAAAGCGCAAAGTCTTGATGCCTGCTGATTGTATGGCTCTAGAATCAAGTACTTATCTCTTGCTAATAGTATAAGGAAGAGAGTAGTGTTTGGTTCTGGGGCCATACGACCAGAATCCATCGAGATTTATCAGCTGGAAGCAGCAGAATCGAAGAATCGTCACACCTTTCGACACCGCGAAGAACGATAACAGGCCGATGCAATATCAAAGAATGCCCAACGATTACACCTCGGTACTACTAATAGAAACACACCTTCTACCTGTAATAGCCCGCAGCTTGCATCATACAGCGATTCCGACACACCTTTAGTAGCAGCTTTCGATTCTTTTGTTGTTGTTGTTGTTCTCGCGCAATTCTATCGCGATAATTGCCTTCCCACGCACCAATATTGTTCACAGCTTATGGCTGGCTTAATTCCCGTGGCCCAACACCTTAAAGGTTCTCAACTGGGTTACTCGGCATTTTGTCAGTTGCTTTAAAATGTTGCTCCTTAGTTAAAGTGGCTTATGTCTCACAATGTTTACTAATGTCTACCAATGTCTAGTAATGTCTACCAATGTCTACTAAATGTCTACCAATGTCTACTAAAGTTTACTAATGTCTACATTGAATAGTAAAACAGTACAAAAATGTCTACCAATGTCTACTAAAGTCCACCAAAGCTACTAAAGTCTACTAAAAGTCTACTAAAGTCTACCAAATGTTTACCAATGTCTTACAATATCTTACAATGTCTACCATGTCTACTAATGTCTACTTAAGCCCCAGGAGAACTTTATCGCCAAAATACTTATGGGCCAAACAGACAAAATGCCGAGTAACCCTGTTGACCAATTTTTTTACTACGGATACGAGAAGAACTGTCCTTTGGCCAGTTCTGAAGCAGATTTCCGACTCTCGGAAGGAGATTTTCCTCCCTGATACATATGTTCTGTAAAATTTACTTAATCCAGTCACTCTTTTAAAATAGTATGACATAGGTTTTGTACATTTCTACGGTACGTGGGGCGTAATCCGAACCGGCTCGGTTCTCTATCCTTAAGAAGCAAATGTTGCTTAAGCTTACGCAAATCTCAAGGGAAATTTTTTCCTCTGACCTCTGAAATTGACTTGAAAGGGTGAGAAATTATTAAAAACGAACCGGCTTACTTAGTTAGGGCATGAGGCAGGGACCCAAGGTCGGAGGTCTGACTGAGGGCTTAAGAGAGGGCGCAAGCCCGACAGCCTGATGGTCAGGCCGGAGACCGATGGGGCACAGCCGGCCCTCTAAGTACTAGGTTGGTTTTGATGGGAACGATAACGGCTGGGTTTGTATTAACGGTCGGTCTGCGTAGAGGGCCGTAAAACAGTACCATACCAATACAAAACCTGCCGGTTCGTTCTCCACTTGCTAGTACAGCTGTAGTACCAGAAAAAGTACAGTTCCAGCACCTCGAGGTAAAAAGCCCATTTGATTGAAACGGAGTAAAATTGACGATTTGATTAGGCATAAATGACTTTCCAAGAGAATAGTCTGATAATTGTCTGAAGAGAAACCATCCTTCCATAAGATAATGGTGAGATAAGTGTCAGACGATTGTCAGACAATCGCTAAATCTTATTTCAGATGATCGCTAAATCTTTCAGACGATCGCTGGTTACTCTTGGCATTATTTGGTACTGCGTTCAACTGAGTACTAGATGTTCCGAGTCATCACCAATAATCGTCTGAAAAAGTGGGGGCTTCGCCAATAATCGTCTGACAGAAACTGTCTGACATAATCGTCTTAAGACAGTTGTCAGACGATTATAAGTTAATTGTCAGACGATTAGAGTAATCGTCTTATGACTGCCTGATATGACTTAAGCAACATAAAATTCACTCCAAAAATCCAGTTTTTACACAAATAAAGAACCAATTGGAGACCTTTACCTCAAGGTGCAGTAGTAAAGCATTCAGGGGTGCTTGCGCGAAAATTTCCTCTTTGCTTTCACTCTTCTTCTTGTCATCACACTCTTCTTGTTGTTGTTGGACTTGCTTGGCGACATTCACCGTCTATGTTATAGCTAGCTACCGGTGGCTATTGAGTTGTAGTAATCACCATGGGCATTGTGGACTTTCTTCCCACAGTCCTCGCAGCGGCAGCCACGGACGTGGATCTGCGCAAGTATCGAGATGGCATAGGCATGACGGTCCGAACGGGACGAAAGCGACAACGGATCCGTCGTCCTTTGCGCATTGGCGTGGATATCGCGGGATGGATTTACAGGGCAACCATGCGCTATGGAAACATGTTGGCGGATGAAAATCACTTGTCCAACTATGGGAGGTACCAGTTGATGCAACAACAGCAGCAACAAAACCAAAAAGACAATGACAATAAGAAGGACAATAATAAAAAGGACGACGATCAAGTGGTCCAACAATACGTGGCCAATTGTTGCTTGCACGTCATGGAGCGTCTCCAGTCGTTGCAGAAGGAAACCAATGCCGAACTATTGGCCGTGCTCGATGGGGACACACCACCTATCAAAAAAGCAACCACTACCCAACGATCCGAGGCACGAAGAGAAAATGAACGCGTGAGAGATGCTCCCATGGACATGACTACTGCTACTAATAGTGAGAACAGCAGCAAAGAGGCCGTCCAGAAAATGGAACGAGAACGAACCAAAGCCAACAAACGAGCCGGTGCCGGAAAACACTTTTCAAGGATTGTGGAAGAACTCATTTATGCACTGCGAATCAACCAAATTCCATTCCTCGTGGCACCCTATGAAGCCGATGGACAATTGGCATGGTTGTCCAATGAAAAATTCATTGACTTGGTCATTACAGAAGATTCCGATATGGTGGCGCAGGGAGGCAAATGTATGCTATACAAATATAAAGACATGGAAACGCGATGTGATCCACCAATAATTCAACAAACACCTACCAGCAACAACTGTAACCAGAATGACAACAACAATCAGCAGAAAACCAATAATAAAGATCCACAACAAACCACCAACGACAACAAACCCAAACGATCTTTTGTACCAAGAGGAAAGTTGTTACTACGAGATGATTTGGGCGCCGTGACCATCTCCAGGGCCTCGGGGGCTGGACAACCTAGTCTGTGCCTGAGAGACTTGTCCGATGCCGCGCTAGCCGTCATGTTTGTGGCAGCGGGATGTGATTACTGGGACAGCCTCAAGGGAATTGGATTGAAAACGGCATGTGATATTGTCAACCGCGCCTTTCTGCAACCAATCAAAGACGAACTCAGTCCACTCGATGTGGTATTTCAACAACTCTTTCAACGAACGTATGATCGAAACATCTATGCTGGGAATGACAATCTGCAAAAAAAGTACAAAGAGGGATTCCTGGCAGCCCTCGTACTGTATCGGCATCCTATTGTGTACAATCCGTTCAAACAAACGTGCGAAATTGCACACCTAGACACCTTTGATCCGGAGTTGATGAGTTATGATTCATACAGAAACTTGTTGGAAGATGAAGAGCGTCTCAAGAATATTCTCGGAGAAATCATTGAAGCTCCCATGGCAACCTTCATTGCCGAAGGATGGGTGTCTTCGAGAAGCAAGCGGCTCTTTGAAATGTCCAAGAAAGTGGAAAAGCTTCCAAAGGCACTACAGCAACATTTTCACTTGGAAGATCCTACTAATGATTTGGACGATGCCAATGACAAACAAGGCGTGGAAGATGTGGCCATGACAGAAGCTCCAAGTGACGACAAGGCAGCACCAACTAACGACGAAGAGGACGAGGAAACGCAACCAGATCCCATGGCACTGGATACCCAACCGTTGGCCCAAGCAAGCCCAACTCCTGCACGCCGCAGCGAAAAGGGCAGCAGTCGAGAGAGAAACAACACAACAGAGGACAGTTTAATGAACCTCGATACTCAACCTCTGACCAAGGAACCGCAACATGATGTCAAAGACACAAACAAGAGGGGAAAGTTTGATGATGCCGACGAAGAGATGAATCTGGATACCCAACCTCTGACGCATGAACCGTTAACCCAGGAAACACTACCTTACAAAGCCACAAACAACAGCGGGAAGTTTGCTGATGCTGAAGAATCCTTGGAACCAGAAAAACCAGTGGAAACCCCAGAGAAAAAGAATGGCAAGGAGCTTGATTCTCAAGAGACGCCACCAGATAGTATGGGCCTTGACACTCAGCCGATCTAGACATTCCACGTTCAACTACATGTAGCAAGGAAGGTTCTCCCCTCTGTGTCAGTCTAACTGCAAATAGCCATCTATTAAAGGTTTAACGCTGTAGCAAGTTTATGAATGAATGTTGGTGCGTGTTCTACTCTTTATTTCGACGCAGTGTTCTTCTTTGCTGCGCGCAATGCTTCCATCTCCTCGACTGAAAAACCGGCTCTTCCACTTGAGAGTCCTTGATTCAAACGGTCTTTAGCCGATGGTTGCGATGAAGTCGAGTCTTCGCCGCGCTGTCGTCGCTTCCCGGTCGCACCATTCTTATTGCGGTTGGAACCGCCATCGTTATTGTTGTTGGACGAGTGGTTGTTGCTGTTATTGTTGTTGTAGGAGTTTCTATTGTCGCCATCAGAATTGCGCCTGCGACGTTTTTTTCGACGATTATTGTGCTGATTGTCGTCCTCTTCGTCTTCATTGACTACCCTGTAGTCATCGCCAGGCCCAAGAATTCGCCTGGTACTAAAGCCAGGCGGTGGATCGGGCCAAGTATTTGGTCGCTCGACGAGAATATCCAAAGAAGTTGCCGGACGCATCAGGATACGGGCTATCGTTCCACGTTTCCCAAACCTGTCGTTCTTAACCTGCGGTACCAAGAAAGCCCGCGAGAAGCCATCAGGAGGCGGAGCAATATCAATCCAGGTGAAAACAATTCATCGATAGCGTACCTTTCGAACGAAGTTCTTGCCCAGTTTCCATCCCATGGCTCCAAAGTCAGGTGGCACGTAATCCTCGTCATCCTCATTGAGTCCACTCGGTGGCGGAGAAGGGATCTCTTCTGCCATGGCTTGCATCGCACGAACAGCTGAAAATTTATCTTCAAACAGAATATTGCATCCCAAGTCGCCTAGCCATTCCACATAGGATGGTCCATAGACTGTAAAATAAGCCTTTGGGAACCAGAAGAGCACGAGAAACAGACTTGTGAGGCACAGAAACGATTAAAATGAACCAATGTCAAGAAATCCATCAAGCTGGACTAACCATCAGATCCTCCGATCGAATCTGTTTGAACGCTGACCAGTCAATACTGAAAATATGAATCTTTTCAGGTGTCAGCGTAGGCTTGTCAGTTTCCATGGCAAATTCATCTGCTGGTGGCTCTTTGCTTTCCGCAGTTTCTGCCGGTGGTTTGGCCCACAAAGATTCGGGTGGGTCCACCCTTTGAAATCGAACCAACTCTTCATTGTCCCACGCCTGAATAATGGGGATGGAATCCTCGTCGTTGCTCTCCTCCATTTTGGTCCCTGTTGCCGCGTCTTTGGCTGGTGGATCCTCTCCACCAGCCTCTTCCGTTGCATCCTCTTCCAGTTCTCGTTTTTTGGTGTTGTCTCCAAACCGTGATTTCCGTGCTTCTTGCTTGGCCAACTCGGCTGGATCGGTAACATCAATTCCTGTAATGAATCCCTGTGCCTTGAGTGGATTGGCTCGAAACTTTCGAGTTTGACTCCATGGCAATACCGATGCCATGTCCGGTTCCTTATAGGCAGTTCCAAACTTTTCTGCCCTGGCTTTTGCCTTGCGACATTCTTCTTGATATGCCTTGAAGGCAGCTTCGTCATTGTCTTGCTGTTCTTGCAAGGATGGTTGTGGTTGGCTACCGTCCATGAGAACATCCATGGTGGTGGAATCCGTGGTGATTTCCAAGACATCCGCCACAAAGGTGGGAATTTGGGTCACATATAGATTGCGAATTTTGACGGGGCGCCCTTGTTGTGCGGCATTGGCCAATCCCACGTATCGAATGTCTCCAATTTTGGTTTGTTGCGTGGATTCATTGGCAGCAGCATTGTCCTCATCGATAGTATCGTTGTTGTCTGCGCTGGTTTCATTCGACGGCTTGTCGTCGTCGTTGTCTTCTATTGTAGCATCCTCGTCTTTCTTTTCCTCATCCAAGACAGCCAGGCATTTTTGTCCAGGTGCATTGCCCAATCCAGCATAGGTTTTTCCTTTCCATCTTGCAATCCAAAAGGAAGTCCAGGTGGTCTCTTGGCATACACGACAAGGACTGGATACTTGCGATACGGCTGGATTGCTATTGGGGGCATTTCGTTTTAGAATGGTAGCTTTGGTGTTTCCCACGGCTCCAAAAGTGATTTCGACAGTTCCACCACGCTGATATCCTGGTTGGGAAGATAATGCTACTGCCACTCCTTCACTGGCCATGGCTGTTTTGAAGAAAAAAACCAAAAGGGGTATAAAAGAAAGAGTTAGGTCCATTGAGTCAAGGTAGATAATGTGCATAGAGTGATTTTCAGAATACCACCGTACGTGGTACCTTTTTCTTCTTCGTACCTTCAAATAAAACCAGGATACCCTTCTCTGGAGGCAAATTGAGATTCTCATTAAAATGCCAATCTTTATTCCATCGTAAGAGAGAGCGTGGATACTTTTTGGATCGTTCACTTGACTTTTGCATGTTGATTTGTGTGGCAAGATCCAAGTACGTGCAGGGCAGAACATTTTCTGTTCCATTGTTGTTGTGTGCCACCACCTCCCAAGGACCCTCTTCGGATATTCGGATCCAACCACTGTGATAAGCCGAGGAGTGAACCGACGTGGTTTCCACTTGTCGGTGGGCCATGGTATCTATCTATCTGTAGTTAGTAGTGATGAGTGAAGCTGGGGATGGATCAGTCAATCTGGATCTATCTATGGCAGGATTCCAGTCTTCTTTCTCGTGCTTGGCAACAAAATGAAATCTACTTTGGGAGATGACCGTCAACCCGCGATAGCTGACCGTTGGAAGACCTCGGTTGTTGGAAGGACTTGCGGAGACCCGAGTGCCTCTCGAATAAAACTGTGACTTATATACCCGTGATTAAACCGTCTTGCCATCTCCCGCGGTACCTCTTACCGCACTTACTTTGGTCCTTTTGTTTTCGTCACAGCCGACCGCCATCGTTTCGTCTTGATAGCTTCAGCTTGTTGTGGTTGTAGTTGTCACGCCATCTATTTCGATCGAGGTAAGGGCTCTACGACACCGGAAATGGCGCTCCCCTAGTGTGGATGGACCCTAGAGTGGACATGCTATTCTGCAGCATCGTTGGCCAAGAAACTCACTTTCTGCTCTGCTTTTGTTTCTGTAGGACATTCCCTCTTTCTCTTTTTAGTTTCTCCTTTGCCAAGAAGACACCAAGATGCCTCACTCGTTTGGTACTCGGGCGCGTACGCGCCACATGTTCGCGAAGAAGTTTCGCCAACAAGGACCCATCCATTTGTCCCAATACTTGATGAATGTCAAGGTCGGGGACTATGTTGATATCTTTGCCAATCCGTCCATCCACAAGGGTATGCCATACAAGGGATACCACGGACGTACCGGTATTGTCTTTAATGTCACCAAGAGTGCCGTAGGTGTCCGTGTCAACAAACTCGTCAATGGAAGAATCATTGAAAAGAGAATCCATGTTCGTATCGAACACGTACGGGCATCCAAATGCCAAAAGGAAATCTTGAGACGTAAGAAGGAAAACGAGGCCGCCAAGGAAGAGGCTCGCAAAACGGGAAACAAGGTCAACCTCAAGCGTACTCCCAAACTTCCCAAGGCAGCATACCTTTTGGAATCCCCTGGAGATGGAGAACCCGTCACCACCATTCAACCACTTCCCTTCAGTGATCTTGTGTAAACAGGTCACTCTAATAGTAAAGATCAAGTTAGCAGGCAACACCACAAGACTACTCTGTAGTAGGTTATTCACTCATCCGATCATCATTACTTAGATGTAGTACTGGTAGTTCAGCTTGACTATTTCCAGAGATCACACATGTGAAAGTATCTTCAGCTTTGCTTGACTGCGCCCACCAATGCCGCATAACTGGCAAAGTCATCTCGTTGCCTTGGTTGCTTCTTGTTGGTAGCATCCTTCAGACTAGGTTGATCTGGCAGCACAAGAGGAACACCAATAGCATTGGAAACCTTCTGGGCCATCTCACGGCAGTGGGTGGCCTTGCGGTTGGAATCATCCCAAGCAAATTCCAACAGGAGATCTTCCATGCTGGACTCGTCGTCACCGCTGCCCACCCAGTATTCTGGATGCTCCAACAGGCATACGTATAGCTGCTCGGCAGCATATCGTCGTACGCGAGGAAAGCTATGGACGAGTTGGGCGCAGACAAACGCCAGAGCATCCTCCTAATGCACGTCGAGGCAGTGGAATGCAGCAATAAGGATGAGTGGGCGCATGCTGAAGCTTTAGTATTCTGGAGGCCAGGTTCACCTCCGCGAGGCACTTACCACAACTCCGTCAGAAGGTGGGCCCACAAGGCCCAACGCAACGTCGATGCAGGCAAAGTGTCTGTGAATGTCTCTGCAATTCTTTGCTTCGTTCGAGATATGTCTTAGTAGCGACTTCTTGAAACCGCATTCTTCAACATCTTTCAGAAGCTCGTCAAGGCACTGATGGGACAGCAGGGTTTCAATGGTCTTGAGGAGAGGCAGTGTGACCCTACCGTCGCGACTGTGAGTATGGAACAGGTCCAACAAGACTTCGTTGGTGTGCATGAATGGGACAAGTATAAAATGTCATCATTGAGAGATTATGTATGCTAAAACTGCACACAGTTTGCAGAACTAGGAACTTACCATTGCCCAAGGTGGTGATGCGTGGAGTACCCCTTGCTTCCTTTGCCAACTGCAGCAGTGCAGCACTGGACTCTTTGGAAATACTCTCGGTCAGACCACCAACGCTTATGACCATACCAGAGAGGATAGCAGCAAAGTACTCGTCAACTTTCGAAGCTTTCGCCACCATTGGAAAAGTCACCGAAGCATCAGCCCAGTTTGTAGTGCCCACGACTTGCTTCGATTCTTCAGCATCGCCCTCATGTTGTTCCAGCCCAAAGCATCGTTGAAGGAACTCATGTTCAGGGATGGAAGGTACTCTGGGATCTTCCTTTGTCAAAATGCGTTCTAGACAACCACCTGCTTCCACCCTCACGGAATCGAGCTTCTCACAGAACTGCTTCAACATGCCAGAAACAGTCTTCTTGGCAAGGTCGTGGCTAAACAACTGAGGAACTGATTCTTGGCTCCCTTGCTCTACCGCAAGATATGCCATTGCCTCCAGCCCGTTCATTGCTTCTATTCGACACCATGACCCCACGTCTCCTCGTCGATCCATGTTGTAGTCAACTAGCCCCTTGAGGAAGGTCTCAAACACAGCGTCGACAAGCTTGCAATCCAGCCCCACGCAACCACCACCACTGCTTCGAAGATTACCCTCCAGCCCCACTGTTTGACACACACGCTTGAGTGCAATAAGAGCATTTCGTCGTGTCGCGGCATCCCTTTCGCCGCCTACTGTGGCGTTGTGCCTAGCAACCTTGCGTAACACCGTGATGACAGAATCAAGTACCAAAGGCGACGGGGCCAAGAGTTTTGCTGGAAGATACCCCAAAGCTAAGGCAAAGCCACGCGTTGAAGCGGGGTTCTCGCAGGTCTTCGCAGTGTGCAGGTATCTGTCAACCACACGCTTCTGTAGCCGATCCGAAGGACCATTGGGCCCGACTGGAAAATAGTTAAGTGTCAATTCCCGCAATGCTTCACATGCCTTTTCTTGAATCGTCTCGTTTGGATGTGGGAGACAAGCATCAATGGAGTCGAGGAGCCTCACTTGCTGCCGTGCCACTAGAGGGATTTTGGCTGCGCAGATGCAACAAATGAGTCTGCAAACAGCCGCGCGGACTATTTCACCGCCTCTTCCTCGATATAGTCGATTCTTTTCAATTGCGGTAACTATGTCTCTAATCTCGTTCAGTAGATTGTCGGGTACACTGTCTTGTATGGCCGCGACCTGTTTGCCAAGAGCAAGAATGGACTCTGCGAGACCAAGGATGGCACCGTGGCGCATTGGAATGTCTTTTGGGTCCAGACTTGCCTTGAGCAAGTACGGCAAGGCGTAGTCAATCACGTACTTTGGGTCCAGAAAAATCAATCCATGTAGAGACTCTGATGCCAGCTGACGAATGTTTGGGTCCCAGTGATGCAATTTCACTCTATAGACGTGCTTAACGATATTTGTGCGATACTCGGGGAATTGTGCCACATGCAATGCAATCTTTGTGTATGCGTCTTTCCGGTTGCCCAGGGAAAAGTAATCGGCCACTGTAAGGATGGATATCCCATGCTTAAAACTCTATTGGCCAAAACGGGGAAGAAGAGGTTAGAACATACAATGAAAGGAAAGGCTTAGGATTTCATAGCCACTCACATCTGCTCCTTGCCGGCCCACACATTCTTGAAATGCAGCACTAGCAGCTCTTCTGCAGTTTACCTCTCGATCAAACAGACAAGTTAGGATGATTGATTCCGAGAGGGTGGAGACGTAAGGCTTTAGAATAGTTGGCTCATAGGCTCGGGCAAAGGACCAATACGTGTAGCAGGCCGCGTCCCGAACATGGGCCCCCACGCTGCTCTGGCCCCTGACGACGTCATACTATGAGAGGCGGATGATATTAGTGAGGGGGAAGAGATGGTGTCGACACAGAAAGATACCCTCTGAAGAATGGCTCGACTTACCTGAATGGCCCGAACAATCATTGGTACTAGTTGCGACAGCCGATGAGGTAACAGCAATCCTCTCCGTGCGAGTTCTGCCAGTGCCAAACAAGCTCCATGCCATGCCTGATCTGCTTCTTGGTCGACAAACATTTCCAAAATTGCATCTAGGACATCATCTGCACAAATGGACGGCAACCTTGCAGTCAGCCTGCCTACACCTTTGGCTGCGGCCCATCTCACCATGGTAGCCGGGTCACGGAGCTTGTGCTGAATGAAACCCATCGCATCCTCCACTTCGTCTGGGACATGCCACAGAAGATCAAGCTCATCATCAGTATGTTGTGGACCATGTCTCGTGAGAGACTCTGTAGAATCTCCAGTCTCTTGTACTGAAGGGGTATCAGTTGCCTGTGATGGTCCTTTCATGGCAAGGTTGTCCGCCAGAGATCTTCGTCCCCGTTGATATCTCCACTGCGTGATATTGGGAGGCAAATAAATGCATCCCATTCGTGCCCACCACTTGACCATGAATTTTCTCAGCAGCAGATTGTTGTCACAAACATTTAGGTGTTCCAGTCGCAGAAATACGGGCCAAAGAGCCGACATGTAATCCATGACTTTGTCTCGTGAGCTGCTGCAAACCTTGATGATTCGGACCAGGGTTTGAATAACTCCCAAGAGAAGAAATGCGTCGGAATGTCTAAGTGTTTGGTGGTTGCATTGTTCCAGCAAAATGCGGCGGCTCCATTGGACAAACTCAGGGATTTGCGTGCTTTCCAAATCGGGCCGTGATACCCACGCGGCAAGGGAGGATGCAGCCGCTTCTCGGGTGGGCCCAGTTTGCGACAATTGAGCTTTTCCCAGGTCAATCAACGAAGACACGACACTGTTGGAATCAGCAAACAAAGCTGAGCAGTGGAACGGCACCAAACTAAGCGTCTCCACCCAATTCCAAAGCACGTAAAGAGATTCCCATCGCTGTGGCCGTTGATCCGAGTCACCAGAGAAATGTTGTAGATTGTTATTGTCCTCCCGTTGCAATTGTTGCAGTGCTCGGAGGACAGGCTCTAGATCCTCGACTTCATGGGAAAGCAGTCGTTGGATATCCTTCCTTCCTCGCACTTTGGATAAGGCATAGATGGCAGACAAGGCATGGGAACAATGATGAAACGGAATAATGGACTCGTCACCAGTCTTGCCAATGGTTTTTCGAGCTACTTCAAGTAGATCCGTCACGATATTTCGAACGTCATACCTCAAAAGAGTGGGACATTCCAAGTAATTGTCGAAAATCTGGCGAAGACGAACCAATGCTGCGTCCTTCTCATTATCATCCGATGACTCTGTGTTTGTGAGGATGGCCACCAATTTCTGGGTTTCTTCTCGCTCTACAAAGAGATTATCTTCTGATACAGCGGACATTCCTTGCTTATTCTCGGGAGTCTGATTCTAGCTAGCAACCTGTGCTCAAGACCTTGCGGCTGGATCTGGAAATTGTACCGATAGGATTGGCTTCGCGGTGTTGTGGAGTGAGGACGATGGAGGAGGAAAGCAAAAAACCCCAACTTTCCGGGCGCAGCCCGGAAAGTTGGCGGGGAGCCCGGAGAAAAGGAGGAGAGTTGGGAGAATTCGGATAGTTCGTGTTGGAGGTTAGTGCTCTGTTTACAGGTTAGCTTTCCAGGAGTTTTCCACTAGCTTTCAGCTTTGACCCAACACCGTGATGGTTAGCTTTCCCAGTTCTCCAGCTAACTTTTATGGCAAGTTGGCTGAAGCAAGCAGTTGGTTTTGGGAAAAGAGCCCTATTTTTGGGTGTTTGCGAGCTATTTGAACAGGCAACGAGGTCTCCCAGTGAAGGCACTGGAGCTACGTGGAGCTCCCAGTGAAGGTACTGGAGCTACATGAAGCTACTGGAGCTATTTGAAAGTGCTCGAGACCTCTATTACTGGTACTTTTCAAATAGAGAAGAGAACCGATTGTTAGTTGCTCTAAGCTCTCTTCTAGTTGTTACTGTTGCTATTGAGATACTACTGAAAAAGTGGGTTCCTTGGCTTTTTCTACTGGCATCAAATTCTAGTACAGAGGTACAGGTTGAATCCCTAATCGCGAATCCCCAACACACTCCTGTGGTCGTCGAGCTTGTCCTAGTCGTCGACCATGCTTACTTACTTACTCCGCTTAGCGCTCCTTCTTTGAACGGACCTTCTTGTCCGACCGTGACCCTCCTTCAGAGTGCCCTGGCTCTGAGTGTTCCACAACACCCATCAACTTGTCCACGTTCTGTTTGAACAGTCGACCTTGGTTCGGCTTCGTCCAGAAGTCCGCAACCATATCATCAGTTGAACACCAGTCCACACTGATCTCCTTCTTTGCGACTCTGTCGCTCACAAAGAAGTACCTAATGTTGATGTGCTTCGTTCGTTTACTACTAGAAGCTTTGCCGTTCTTCTCTAGAAGGATGGCACTCTTGTTGTCCTGATAGACTATAGTTTCTTTAACTACATAGCCTTGCTCGCGAAGGAACTGCCTCGTCCAAAGGATCGATGGCATCAGGTCATCAACTGCTACGAGTTCACTCTCAGTTGAGCTTCTCGTGTTCAACTTCTGTTTCGTCGAAGTCGATAATGGGTAACCGGTGCCCATGGTCAAACCACCTCCGGTATGACCCCTCATGTTTGGATGGACTGCGAAGGAACCATCAACATACCATTTCAATATGCCACTTCCGTCGGCTTTGAGAACTAATGGTAGTTTTCTAGTACGTCTAATGTACTGCATGAGGTGGACTAGTTTATCCCAGTCGTGCCTATCGGGTTTCTTGACTCAAGTCGTGAGGAACGATATCGCCGTACCTGTGTCTGGTCGGGCTCTCTTCGTAGCGAATAACACCTTAGC